TTTTTTGCGAAAAACGACATTGTCATGAACTCACTAACAGAATAGGTGGACACAAATGCTTGATTCAGAGTAGGTTCAGGCAAAAGACAGGTTTAATGACAGTCAGGGTTCGGTACACAGGAATTCAGTCCAACAGGCAGAAGTATCCAAGAATCGGCGGGCAGAGACAAGTTCCAAAAAACAGAATCAAGGTCGTGAACAAACAGGCAAAGGTCTCCAAAATCGTCAGACAAGAGGCAAGGTCAAAAAAGCAGAAACAAGGTCGAGAACCAACAGACTGTGACTTAACTTGAATAGACACTGGTACGAGGACTGTGAAGTGCAACAAACTGGCGACGAGACAGTGAGACACACAGGGTAATATACACGAGGGAATGAGGGTAGATGGGAAACAGGTGCGTGGAGGTAATCAGGGAACAGGTGAGACGAGACAGGTACAGGAAGTAAAACTAGAACAGAACACCCAGTGAAATGATTTCAAAATTAAACAGGAAAGACGAGACATAATGTGCAGACATGAACAGAAACTTGACAGACATGACAGACATGCTATAGTATGACTTTTTTTCCCCGACCAAAACACATATGTTTTTTTTTTTCAGGAAATACTTTCCTAAGGTGTTTTCTACCACATGCATTACACTATTTGCACGATTTACTACATCCTGACACGTTTTCACAACATTCTGAGACGTGACCTTTTTTGCAAAAAACGACATGCTATAGTATGACTTTTTTTTTCAGGCCAAAACACAAAATGTGTAATTTTTCAATAAATACTTTCCTAACATGCTTTCTACCAAATGCATTACACTATTTGCACTATATGCTACATCCTAAAAGAACACAACTCATTTTCATAATATTGGATCTTAAGTGAGATCATTTAAGCGTCTACTTGTGAATTTTTTGAAAGAACATCCTTAAAATTGTATTTGAAGGTGAAGTTTGTGACTCTGGAGATTATATTGTATGGATATTTCACATTTACAGAAACAGGACTGTGACAAACACTCTTCACACCTTCACACTTTAAAGTTTTAATTTACATCTAAATGATTTCCGTCCTCTTTAGGTCGAACCATGACCGTGAGACCGACTGTGCTGGAAGACTTCAAAACGCTGGTCAGAGAACAGGGCATGAGCGACGACACCGTTATCATTAAAAAGGACAAAGGTAAACACACACAGACCATCACGTACGATAACACTCTTATAAACATGAAGCATTCAGACGACACTTTAAAAAGCAACAAAAACATATATCAAAATTACTCTTCAATTTATTTCTCATTTGTATAATTCTTTGCTGTATGGCTGCAGAAAAATCTAAACCCAGTAACAGCACAATAAGACAAGAGAAAATGTTAAAAGTATTTACTAACTAAATTGAGGCATTAATGACGTGTTTTCATATGATTTCTGTGCAGGTGACTGTGTTCCTGGAGAGCAGGTGACAGAGCCTACAACGAGGCCGGAGCCCCAGGTACTGAAACATCTACTTTAACTGACGCATCTTTCGATTATATTGTCAATAAAACACATCTTAACAAATTCAATCAGCGTTTTATAAACTTGAGCTATTGTGTGATTTCAATATACCGGCTTTAAAATTATATATAGTATTATTAGCAATACTAGTAACAGCAGCAGCATCTATTAAAAATATATATGTACCAATAAAGAATGATTGAAAATAAGCCTTCCTATATAGATAACCTCCATTATAAAATATGAGCTTTTACAAATGACATTTGAAACGGTGTGAGGGTAAACATGAGGCGGTTATCTCAAACATTTGGTGCTCGGGGAGATGTTTGTCTCTGACTGAACCTGTCTGTGGATGTTCTGCAGCGGGTCAGGAGAAACGTGCTTCCTACGCTGGCTGCTGTAGACGTGGAGGGTTCTGGTGATGACACGCCTCTGTTCAATGGAACAGGTAAGAGATCAGCCTGGACCCCGACACACTCACATATTATTAATATGTCTAATTGATCCCTGACGTGTGTGTGTGTCTAACTGTTCTTTGCATATCTCAACACTTGTACTTCCGATCTACGTTAAACTTGACTGGTGTGCTGTTAGAGATCCAAGAAAGTGTGGTGCTGAAGTGTAATCTTTTGGGGGTCTTTTTGGCGTCCACAGCAGGCCTTTAGCTGCACAGGGAGTCAAAAGAATCACAAACAGTCCTCAAAAATGGCTACGACACATTAAAATGAGACTTCTGTCAAGTTTGAAGTCGATCAGATGAGCAGCTGTCAAGAAAACTGTCTAAAAGACAAACATACGGACATAATTTAAAGAGGATTTATGCTAAAGGAAGCTCAGAAATCCTGATTCTGATGTTGTGAGTGATCTGTGTTGCTCTCTCTCTACAGAGGCTTGCAGAGCAGCCCCGGACACAGGACCCTGCTTTGGGATGCTCCAGCGTTACTACTACAACTCCACCTCAATGAGCTGCGAACTCTTCAAGTACGGAGGCTGTCTGGGAAATCAGAACAACTTTGAGAGCGAGAGAGAGTGTCTGCAGAGATGTCGCACTGAGGGTGAGGAGTGAAACTGTAAACATGAGAATTCAATACACACAATATGTAGGTGTAGGTAAATGTTTTCCTCATCTAGTAATGACGATCAGCACTCTTCTGTTAGTGTTAAATGACTCCCTGTCTCTTTTTGCTATGTGTAGATGTTTTTTCTGCCTTTCAGCGCCTGTAGGTCAAGAAGAATTCTTCCTGTTTTGATGCCTATTCATTGGTCTCTCTTTGCTCTCTCCAGCTGCGTGCCGCTTGCCCATGGTAGCTCAGTCCTGCACGGGGCAGCCACTTATCTGGGCCTTCGACTCCTCCGCCGGTCTGTGTGTGCCCTACAAGAAGGGCTTCTGCCAGGGCAACGGCAACAAGTTCTACAGCAAGTCAGAGTGTGAAGAGTACTGCGGGGTGGTGAAAGACGGTGAGATGGACACAAGGAGAAGCTGATGCAGGATAAACAGCACAGCTCTGTGAAGGAAGACTTATTTATGCATCCATGCAAATGTAACTCACCAAATATCCGTGTACACACAATAAAAGCATTTGTTTTGGGGTTTTATTTTGCAGGAGACGACCTCCCTAAGTCTAACTGAGTGACACGAGGAAACATCGCCGCTCACCTGCTGCCGTTATTCAGAAATTCAAGAACCAGCATCATTTAAAGTGCACTGCTCAGAAAGATGATTTTGTCTCCGGTGATGTTATTTCACAACAGCTCCCCAATAAACTAAATCAATCCAGGTGGTTCTTGTTTGTTATTGTTATTTACTATAATCCATTTTTGCTGTATTTACAGACTCAGAGTTTCGTAAGGTGGAAAAAATCATTTAAAAAATACATTTAAATAATAAACTAAAAAATGATAAAATAAATAAATGCATTTAAAAACATTTTAAAAATTAAAAATAATTTTAAAAATAAGTATTATCATTTTTATTATTTTATTTATTTGTCTTTATATTTCTACTTTTATCAGCCTTTTCTTTTATGGATTCACTTTTGATTAATATTACCACATTATTTATTTATTCTTCTTTTTATTTCCACTTTTATTTTATTATTCTTTTGCTGATTTATTTTGGTAATTTGGCACTCTCACTACTCCAGACTTTACTGTCATGCAATCCAAAGAAGAAACGACACAAATCAAAGCTCTTTGATTTTTATCATTGTCTATTTTCCACAGGCTGCAGTTGTTTAGCACTGTTGCCTCGTAGTAAGTTTGACGTCCCGGTGGGGGCACCGGTTAATTGGTGACTCTAAATTGTCCGTAGGTGTGAATGTGAGTGTGCTTGGTTGTCTGTCTCTAAGTGTAGCCCTGTGATAGACTGGTTACCTGTCCAGGTGTCCTCTGCCTTTGCCCTGAGTCAGCTGGGATAGACTCCAGCCCCCCATGACCCTGGTGAGGATTAAGGTGTAGAGATGATGGATGGATCTATTTTACACATACAGGAGGGAGGTGGGACTCCTACAGAGCCCAAGACATGAAATGGTCAAAATGAAACTAAATCATGGCGACAATATAGCTTTAATGTGCGCACAAAATACTAATTCGTTCGGATGTGATAGCTATATTATGGCCACAAAATAAGTATAATGTGTGCATGAAATGCTAATTTTAGCCACAAAGTAGGTATAATGTCCGCACGAAATATTGATATCGTTCCTGGACAACTGGGTAAGCAAATCAAGCGCACCTTCTCTGCAATACCCTGGTACGGGATCCCAAACAGTAAAGGACTAGAAAACATTTCAGGGAAGCACAAGCAGCAGTTCTGTCTGAGCAGCATCACCAGAAGGGGGCGACGTTGCTCCAGTTACAGATGGTCCTCCTGTGTTTCACTCGGTCCCAGTCAGATCCACATTCTCCTGTATTTACACAGCAAATGATGAGTCATCCAGCGCTGCAAAATCACCACATAACCTCACCGCTAGGCCTTACATATCCTCTCTCTCCCCTCCTGCGAAGGAGCCAGGCTTCCTGCTCTCAGTTCCCAGAGTTCCCGGCTGCTGGCAGCAGAACGCTGGGAATATCCGGATAGGAAGAGGAGGTGACATCACAGCGGTGACCTTCCGTACCAGGCCAGATCACCTGGTGCTGCCGGGACGAGAGCCTACCAAACAAGCACAAACACACACACACAGATAACCAGCGGCGCATGCTTTTGTTTCCAGCACACACACACATAAGACACACACAGTCACCGAGAGCGATCATGACACATTTTCACACTTTCCAGGGAAACACCGAGACAGAGGTTCCTAAGAAGACAGAGGAACCGATTACTTCAGCTGACATTTTCCAACTCTTAACAGTTTAAGTGGTTCCTCATATCAGACTTTTGAATTGTTGATCAACTTCTTTGTCAGGTTCTACTCATGTTAAATACAAATCCGTTGTGTTCTGTGCTGTGCAAGTCTACACTAACTTAGAAAAACAGAAGAAGACAGTGTCAGATTAACAAAGGTTAGGGGTAAGAAAGCAGGTGAGGAAAGAATAGCTTTTAGAACATTTGAGACATTTAGAGTGATGAAACCATTCCCCATTTGCCCGCATGAGCCTCCAGATTGTTCACCATCCTACTGGAAACATCCACCCATCCATCCATCCATCCATCCATCCATCCATCCATCCATCCATTATCTATACACCACTTGATCCTCACTAGGGTGACTGGAAACATGCTCCTTCCTGAAATGTTCCTTCATGAGCTCAGGATCCACACATCCTGAGAACACTTCTCTTAGAAGTTGGACATTAATAGGTGCACATTTTATTGTTGGTTACATGTTTTTGGTCAAATTCGTAAAAATCTGTGTTAAAGACAAGTAAAGACATTTACTCAGGCATCTTCCAGAAGTCTATTGTTGCATTCATTCTCTTCAGTATATCCATTTTATGCAAATTCACACATGCAGTCTGTGATGTTTCACACAAAAATAATGTAGTTTTATTCCTATTTGTTCTCATTTTCAGACAAAAAATAAAAAAAGACAAAAACTAAACTTGTCAGTACAGCATGGGAAGTGGACGTACACACTGCCAACATATGGTCTGTAGTGGAGATATTTACTGAGTTTTCAGTTAGTGTCTTTGAGGTTTGCATTCTTTAGGAGCAAAGACTGGAAAACACATAAACCCTCGCACAGAGAAAGACTCACAGATGCACAGCTTTGGATACTTAGAAAGAATACTTGTCCCTGATGAAAAGGATTAAAAGAGGAAAACTTAGCAGATGAGATATGAACAGGAGGAGACAGAACAGAGTGCTGGTGTTGTTTAATGCCAAAGATGGGAAGAGAGAGTGCGGTGGAGTTGTCATTTTATAAAATGACAAATGAAGAAGGGATTCTCTTTCTTCTATTGTCCGTCCAACGGAGGACCCCCTACACATCGTGGTGTTTCCCTCACTTCAGAGGACTTTATCTCATTTTCTACAGATGTAACTGAAGCGTAACCACTGCTAACCAAACCCACACCCTGAACATTCACTCACATCTCGTCACTCTCTTTTCTGCTTCAAGTTCAGCTCTTTGACTACGTTGCCAACCAACTGGCAGCCGTGAGCATTTAAAGACCCTGAGCTCCCCCTCCTCTAAACCCCAGCTGTGTCATCTGAGCGCGTTCACTAAGTCTGAGATCTAACAGATGGTTGTCCAAAAAGACAGAACTGGGATTTTCAGGTTTGAAAGAAAAGCTGGAGGGTCATACTTGTAAAATATTACTCAAGTAGAAGTAATTTTGCTCGTTTTAAAAAAAAACAAATCGAACAAAGGTAGCTGTAGTGAACATTGCAGCAGAGTAGTGACGGGTAGCTCTGTCCTAAATAACTTTATTAGGGACGAAAAGTTCAAATAAAATTTAAATGGAACAAGTCAGGGCAGCGTGACGCCAACAAGGTAAGTATGCAGTCTGGGCTTATTCAGGCGTGAGACTTAAAGTCGTATCCATTTAAATAAACACAGCAGTGAACATATCCCATTCAAGGGCGTCTAGGAGCAGAGGACGAGGAGAGGAGCTAAGAGCGAAGAAGAAGATAAGATAAAACTTTATTAAACTCGAAGGAATTTGCTTTTCTGGGAAATGCTAGAGAAAAAAAAGGGCATTACAAAAGAAACGCAGTCGGGCTGGTAGAGAAGATAAAGATGTAAGAATGATAGATTATTGAAAACAAAACAAGCACATTTTTTTCTCCCCTTGGAACAGCTCCAAGCTCGCACCACATATTTCATTATCTTTTCATGACATAGCTCAGCAGTTATTTCATTTATCAGCCTCCCTACATGACACCAGCATCTGGCAAAGTGACTTTAGACTTTAAAAACTATGACTCACCTGTGATACTTTGAATCCCCAGCTGTTGAACAAGGACTCACCAGGTCACAGGTCTGTAAAAAAAAAAAAAAGAAGCAACCGACTTATCTCAAGTATGACCTCTTGTTACCTTTCACAAGTCATACATACACAAATATATACCTATAACCTATTAGCTTACACCTTAAGATACATTATATGTGCTTCAAGCTGAATAATCAGAATCTTTTGCAATCAAGCTGCAACCAACGGAGCTAAAAACAAATAAAGCTAAAAACTGCAGTTCCTTGAATGGCCTCTTGAGGCAGCCCACAAAAGTGAGTAAATCCCCATAGACGACACATGTTAAAATGCCCAACTTTACAGCAGAAATAAACATGGTTACAGTTCAGTACTAAACTCGGTTTTGGTCTTTATTGCTAATTTCCCATTTCAGGACAATTGTACCGGTGTAAACTTGTATGTAACTCACCTATTTAAATTGTATTAAGGCTTGAAATTATGCATAAATAATAGCGTGGCTGCTGTGTGTGACATGTGGGTGTCGTCACAGGACAGTCTACGACCCGCCTTAGTCACCCCGTTGACTTAATGTACAGTGAACCATGGCTCAGACCCTCTGAAGCAATTTATATTTGTCAAAATGACATAGCTGGATTTTAAATGTATGACAGCGTACCTTTAAATGGGATCACGTTGGTTTGTGACACCAACTACCACGCCTGTTTCTCCTTCCTCACCTACTTTATACGACTAAGTAACTGGATCTCCTGGACCTGAACGTCTCCCACATGACGATGGATAGAAGTTTAATAAAAATGAATAAATGTGTCGTCCACTGGAACAACAGCGCAATGGTTTTCTTTAAAATAATATATGCAATTTTTACTAATTAGCTACTAAGGAAGGTTGATCGCTGATCCATGACAACATCTACAGTATTAGCTGGAAAGCTACCGTTAGCATGGTCTGAAGTGGAGGAATTTCATTGTATGCTGTTTTGCATACGGATAATGATACTGAAACACAGTAGAAGACAAAAAATAAAACATTTCAATGCAGAAAATCAAAAATTATTTCATGTTTGAGAATTAGCTCGTTGTTATCACACAACAAAAACGATCACGTTCAACTGCAGATCATACTGATGCAATAGTAAACACTTAAATTATCTACCGACAACGTGGTTTTCTTTGTAAACCAGGAGGTAGTTTTAGTAAATGGCACAACTGCATCTATAAGGAATCCATAAATTATTGAATAATAACTATTGAGAATATTAGTTACAGCTTTTACACACATTATAATGTCTGACGCATCCAAACTTTACATTATTGAAGGTTAAGTGACTGATTAAAGAATTAAACTAAACACTACTAAATTTAAACCTGCTTGTCGTTATTTATGTTTTCCAGAGTTGGAGACA